ACAAATTTTCTGATACAAGCACCCTTTGCTAATACTGTCAATAACACGAATTGCTCTAGAATTCGAAAAAGTGTAAAATCGAATGTAATTGCTTTTGCATGCTCGCATTTTCTATAATCTCCATAGAGAAAATTATCTAAATTCTGTAAGTAAAAATGTGGTCGCTATTAAAATGTATGGACCAGAGACAAATAACTTACCAAAGGAGGAGGAATGTCTAGACAAAATTGAAGAGGAGACGCGAATTATTTTCTTTCGTAAACAAGTAGATGTAGCAACGGGAGACGCGTTCGCGATAACCGGGGAGAAGCAAGTAAACGACAAACCCGCGATTCGGGGTGCACTGGAAAACTAACGCCTACGCATGCTGCCAAGGAACGTAGGTATGCAGACGGAAAACCTTTTCTTCTGCTTTTGCGTCACATCCACAAATGTCGGAGCAACAAACACATTTTCTCTGTTGTTCTTCTTGTCGGAGTCTTAATTGTACCATGTAGAGTTGTTTTTACTACCCTTCAGTTTTATGTCATTACTTACGATTTACGAAGGGGGATTATTTCTTCTGATTATACCTGATGCTCTAGCACCTACGTAGTATTTGAGATTTCAATACTGATGAATAAGAATCTTTGTTTTATTAAACGAAAAAGAAGTGCAGTACACGACGATATGAAATAAATTCCTAGCACTTTGCAGCTTACCTACCTACGTCTTATAAGTTTTTAAAATATGTATAGAGTAATAAAGAAACGACTCAACTTACTCATCCTCAAAGTAATAGAAACTCAACTTGCATACCTATATGTGAAATAAAGAAATATAGTTTAAAAAAGAAATTCACCTGGAACAAATTATACGTAGAAATGCTCTCATATTTAACTTCATCAAATAATAATAAATCTTATTAAAATTCTCCCAGGGCACATCCGAATCACACAATGAAGAATTCCAATCTCGACTTCACATTCCAAATTCTCAGGCTGCGATCAAATTCCTTATTCCAAATGGATTATTTAAATAAATTTTGTAGACATCTGAAACTACTGATTAACAAAATTAATCATATTTGAGCATGATACATTTATCTGGATCGTTAAAGGGTTCGAATAGACACACGATTTACTTGAATTCACACAAACAACATTTATTTCAAACAAACAAATCAAATTAATCATAAGACTCCAACAATCAAAATAGACTATAACAAGGTCCTTTTACATACTCCGCATAAGCGTTCGATTACAATTCAAAAAAATAATGATATCTTAGAAATACTTAAAATCCGGGTACACAAACCACTAGTTGCGATAGAAAAGCGCGTTTACCAAAACTGTCTGGCCCAACACATGACCGATGAATACGACGGCTGTCCGGAGACGATAGACGACAACTTCAATGAAATACAGCTACACCAAAACTTTTACGTAGGCCTTCTTAAAACTTTCACTCGAACTCGGCTGACTTCCTGATTATTACGTAATGAATTTTACTTTACAAACAAAACGAAACGCAGGAATTGCGTTTTTTAGGCTTTCAACGAACTCCATCCAATTAACGGGAACTAGCAACATGACAACCAATCAGAACTCCGTTTCTCAACGTTCTTGTAGACGCGTAGGTATCAAAAATTTACGCGAAATCGTCTCATCTCAGATAACACGCAATTTTTACCGATTAAGCCATTCTTATCGCTACCAAAATTAATTAACACTTTTATAGAAACAATCAAAGTGCTCATAAATTAAATCAGAACTGAGAAAAAGTGGCACTTAAGTCCCTTAAATGAATGGCAAAACACGTTGACTTAGTCCACGGAACACAAAAAAAACAGGATTTACTACGGAATACAGAAAAGATATTTTAAGCGTAGGCAATCAATCAATCTTTATTAGCCGCCAAAATGGCAAAAATTTTTGCAATCTAGATTATACCCGAAACTAAAATGCGTTTTTTTCTCATTTCTTTAGTATCCCTCTCATCCACTTCTCACATCTTCTCCTACTTCCAGCACCTCACTCCTGCTTGTCTCCGTCCTTTCCACCTCCTTGCAATTCCATAGCATGTGATCTATGTTCTACTTCTTCTCCACACATTCTAAATTTTCTATCTTCTTGTTTCCATTTCTGTTTCCCTCTCTCCTCCAGGTCCCTTTTTGTCAGCTCATTTTCCATGTTTGCTCCTCTTTTCTTTTCGACCTCAGCGCGCCTATATCAATTTCTTTGATAATATTTTCCTTTTTGTTCTTCCCACATTCCTTTTGCGTTCATCCTTGTTGTCAAGCATTCCTTTACCAATTCGATTTCTTTTTTACTCATTTGTTTCAATCTTACCGCCATGCGTCCCGCTGTTAGCATGATCTTCTCCATTTTTGTTTCTTACTTTCTTTTGGTGTCTTTCCCTAATACCTATAATACCTTCTATGTACTTTTTCCCGTTCATCCCATTCGTTTCACCTTCATATCTCCGGTCCGTACATACATAAGCATCCTTCTCACCATTGCATCCTTGTTCTGAAATTGTTTTTGGAGCCCCTCTCTCCTATTCTCCACACCTGTCTCATTCTCACCACTCCCTTTTTCCTTAGTTCTTTTATTTGCGCATTTGTCCCATTATTCTTTTGCATTTGGTACCTTAAATATTAAATTTCTCTATCTTCTATTCTTCCCTTCCTCTATTTCCATCTCTTTTTTCCTTCAAAAACATCCATGAAATTACGCAAACACGTTTCCGCCCTTTTTCCCATTCCTTTTGGACCAATCTCTTTAATACGTATAGGTATATATATACAGTCGCTCGTTCCTCTCCCTTTGCTGTAGCCAATTTGTGTGTCCTCCAAGATCCTCCCCTCCCATCGTTTTTGAATATCGACACTATTACCACTTCCTTTCATTCTCTAGGTAACCCCCCTCCTTTTCATATCATCATATCATATCATATCACATTCGTCATCTTTTCCTTGACTTTTCCATAGCCTCCGCTCTCTCTTGCTTTCCTTAATAAAATGTTGTTCCTATTCCTCTAATTGTATTTCCCTTCCACTTGTCCTATTCCTCTTTTTTCCTCTGTTTATCACATTCCAAAATCCTTCTATGTTTTAATTTCACTGATTTACCTTCATTGTTTATCTTTAGATTTCCTTTTGTACTTTTTTCTGTTCTCTTACCGGTTTTTCATCTATTTCTCCTTTTCTTTCTCCATCATTTCTCTATTTCTATTTCTATCTTCTATACACTCTTTGTTCCACCACTTCCTTTGTTTTTTCTGTCTCCCCCCTACAGTTATAGGTCAGGTAAGCAGGTACCAAGATTCTAAGAAAGGGTGAAATACACAGGATGTGACTCATCTTTGGTGCAATAAAGTCCTTTTGTTAAAAGCAAGATGGAAAATTACATGAACTTGTAGGAAAATTTAACTAAAAACAAGATATGTGGAAATTACGAATCGTAACTCATTTCTCGCACATAGATTCTAAACTGAAGAGTTTAGATTAGCATAATCTCTCCACCGCAAGATAGCGTCGACCCTCATTCGGGGTTTCGAGCCTACAGTTGAAAGTCGAAGACAATCACGGAAACCCAATTTTGACTACAGTTTTTTCACCCCCGTGACTGCTTCATTCACGGAGAAAAATGGTTAGTGACAAACAACAAGTCCGTACATACATCAAACGAATGGGTAATTTCCACATATTAAAATAAAATGATCAAAACTTATATGAATGTTGCTTCCGGGACAAGACCAAGTAATCAACATCAATAAACATATATTAAGCAAGCATTACACTGTAATGTAATAATTAGTGATTGCCGAAATTAGGATACACGTGCATGAGGTTTCAAAACTTTGAGTTCAAATAATTGTTGATTCATAATCATTGCATTGAACTGATTTAAATTTAATTGCATTAACTTTCTTGCGAAAACGCTTATTATAGCAGTAAGCATTATTCCACTTTCGGTGTGTCACTAATAGGTTAATATTACTAACAGTAGATTTGTAATGGAAAACGAGTAAGCATGTACCATTAATTACTGTCTATGGAATTTATTCAATTCCTAATAAAATAAAAATGAAGTTTCGTGATCTTAATTAAACCAAACCCCTGCAAATATCACAACACCAAAAACGTAAACAATTACAAACAATAGCATAACGGTATCGCATATGTGATTATGCATTGCGGTTAAACAAGTAAATTTCAAAAACAAAGATTTAAACACACACAAAATATAAAATGTGGCATACAAAACACAAATAATTAATAAAGAAATGCAAAGATTACTACCTGCATTAAGAAAACACAAAATAACAACAGTTATGGAGCGACGCGTTCACCACCGCCATTCAAGACAAGATGCCAAACGTAACCCCCGTTCGTACTTTTCTATATGGCGCAGGCAGGTTCTTCCCACCTAGAAATTGCATGGTTGCCAACTCTCAAAAATGTATGTATCGTCGCAAGTTGTATATAAAGGGTGGAACTTTTCACATTGTTTCGTACTAGCGTGATTGTCTATAGTAAACTTGAGCGACAGCAAATTGATTTCGTTTTACAATCGCGCAAACTAATAATACAAAAGTTATATTTGCAAGAACTAAAATATTATACTACATAGTGCAATATGTATGTCAAACCACGCATAAGTTGAGGAACTTTGAACTCTGCAGAAACTACGCTATTATATCAACCAAATCGCACTTTCACTTAAGTAAAGCTGAAGGAAAGAAATCTTTCTCCTATTTTTTCTTTGGGAAGACCGTCCAGCATTGGTGCTTTAATCTTCCTACGTCCGCTAAATTGTACCTACTGCTACAGTTTTAGAGGGCTATGCTTTCGCACCATTTTTGGGTGATATTTAGACTTTTTAGAGCATTTTTCATTCTTTCTGACACTGTTGCCATGGTTCCCTCAGATATAGTGATAGCTAAATCGTCTGCGTACTTTACGTTTGTTAACAGCGCTGAGGGTTAAATGAAGAAGAAAAAACAATGGATACATATTATGGCATATACATATATTTATCATTTCTGTACAAAACAATAAATTCGACTAGTTATAGCATTTAATCAATTTTGAAACCAGCCAGTCGATATATTTTGGCACGTTAACGGAAGTCTTAAATGTACATAATGTAAGAACGTAAATCCTACTCACTGAACACATCTTTAATATCTACAACTATTAAGGCACATGCTTAACGTTGCAACAAATTTTGCTTGAATACTATTTCTTTGGTAACAAGTTTCTTAAAACTATATTTATAAACTACAATAAAACAATATCAAAATGTACAGAATTATATCACAGATCAAGTTTGTCTTCTCAACGATAAAACTGGCTCATTTGCCCAATGATAACAAATCTGTAATTATCATGACACCAAGAAATAAATAATAAATATATTTAACAGGTAAGCAAATTGCGTGAATAAATGCGCGCCTTTCGCCGCGTTGTACTGCTTGAACGAATTTACGGACGAATACGAGTGAACGGTCATAGCCGTCGTCAAACAGCTTAAACTCAACTCGCTGACTATCCTCGGACTTTGCTTGTTGACTAAGCTGGCCAACTTTTCCGCCTCCCTCACGCACGCCTCCAACTGCAGCTGAGAGGGATATTTCTCAGTCGACTGTACTATGACAAAGATGTCCGCTTCGACGCTTAGAAATCCACGTAGCGTGCACTGCGCCACCTGTATGTGCCTTTGTAACGCTCTCAAGACCCCCTTTAGGGAAATTGGCGACGTAGACTTGTTTTGGAACGCGTAAAGCGCGCGAGTGATTTGGCGCGATGAGTATAGCAGCCTTATGGCGCCGCCACATACCGGGCAGCAGGCCCCGGGCGGCGCCACCCCTATGCATTTGGGATCAGACAACGGTCCGCACTTCACAGTCGTACACTGCTTGACATTACCGTTCGTGATCAACCCGACTGTCACACACGGACCGATATAATCCACGCTCACGTAGTCGGCCCATGCTGCACATTCCGATGTGTACGTTTTGCCATTAATTCCGCACACTTTTCCCGCGAATTTACAATTGGTAAGGCACGGTCCTCCGTACGCAAATTTGGAATTGTGATGCGCCAAGAAGCAGGCGTTTTGATACTCTCGGTTGTCGACGTCGCAGACGGGTTCCGTCGGCAAATCGCCGCAGTTTATGGTTCCGTTGACTGTAAATTGGTGAATTAGCCCGTTTCGGTTGCGCACAAAGTGATACTTACTGCACTGGTATTGCAGGCAGGGTTTCTGATTCAAGGACAGGCAGACCTGAGTGTCCGGTACGCATTTTTGGCCAACGCTGCATGGGTTGTTTTTGCAAGGGTCGGGACAGGCGCCGTATTCTATATCCGAGTCGTTCAATCCGGCGCATCTGTAAAGAAGAAATCGCGCTTTTAGTCTGATTGTACTAACTCAAACGGATCGGCAATGGCACAGGTTGGGATTCATGGGTGTACGTAAACGAAATTTGCAAGCCGAGAGGGAAAACTGTCACATTTAGTAATTAAAGTTCGAATGCTACTAATTTCTGGGGAACTCTCAACGTTGGTTAATTAATTAAATTAGGGTCTGTAGAGTAAGGGTGGATTTTATCCTGTGAGTGGTGCATTGTTGCAATGCAGTTTTAATTCAGTAACCCCTCAAACACCACAAAATCCAAATTTTAATCCTCTCGGAAACCCATCTCGCAAATACGCATTCTGAGGCCAAAAACGTCATTCACTCCTAGATAAAAATCGGCCTCCTCTACAGGATGGCCACCATGGCGGTACAGGGATTATAGTACAACACCCTCCACGTCATTCTCCACGACGCACCGAACGCGGTTACAAATGGACTGGTTCTTCTTGGTTTCCCCAACAGTCTCATAATAATAAAAATGCGCCGTCAAAGAAAATGAATCAATGCTAATGTCCAAAAAGAGTGTGAGCAACCTCAGGGATTAGAACATCCACGTCAAATGCGAACGGACTGCAATAGATCTCTGCATAACCTCAGAGACAATTCTCTCGTATTGTAGCATACACTGTCCACTAAGACATAACCTGGGAAACTATACGAAATAGACCTACTAGCCGGGAGACTCGATTTTTTGTCGCGAATGTGGCGAATTAATACCTACAACCACTCTCCTGTCATTCTTGCCGTCGCTAGAAGTGTATACTTAGGGCAGCTACACCACTGGTAGGATTTAGAGTCAGACCTAGCAGTGCCCGTAACAACTAGGCAGAAGAAAAGAGATTGACATCTTCAGAGAAGTCATCCAGAGAAAACATCATGAGAAAATGCACCGCCCAATATATATCAGGTCCGTGAAGTTAGCACGGTCATTAAGAGCACTAATGACGGTACATGATCACCTCGTTAGTGCTTCGTTAGTGCCTCTTAGTGCTTTATAACTTCCATTGGCACGGCGGACCGTTAGTCCGTATTAGTACGTGTCGCACCGTTAGTGCTTTCAACGAGGGTAGGAAGTCAGCACTGCACAAGAGGGGGTCGTTTTATCGGAAACATGCGGTCCTGCTGATGCAAGTTATAAAGCACTAAGAAGCACTAACGAAGAACTAACGATAAGAACTTGTTCGGTCGTTAGTGTTTCCAACAAAGGTAGGAAGTCAGCACCGCAAAAGAAGGGGTCGCTTTCTCAGAAAGGGCCGGTCGTGCTGATACAAGTTATAAAGCACTAAGAGGCAATAACGATTAGCACTTGTCCGGTCATTAGTGATTTCAATGAAGGTAGCAAGTCAGCATTGCACAAGAGGGGGTCGTTTTCTCGGAAACGGCCGGTCGTGCCGATGGATGTTATAAAGCACTAAGAGGCACTAACAAAGCACTAACGATGTGATCATGTACCGTCGTGAGTACTTTTAATGACCGTGCTGATTTCGCGGACCTCAATATATTGGCTTGGCACAAATTAATTACTGTGTCCTTGAGGTTAGGGAGCTAGTAGGAGAAAAGGCAAAAGCGCGCAAGACGTGGCACCTGTCCAGAGGTCCAACAGACAAAACCGCACTACACTGTCTGAATAATAGACTTACAAAAGACAAAAAATGAGACTGTAACTACTATACAGTAACGCCACATGTTGAGCAACGTACAAACTACGACTGGTCGGTAAGAATGCAGTGAACAGAGCAACAGCGCCGCCGCGTGCACAGTTGACGTTTACGCTCCCCCCACCCAAGATCAAAAACCTTGTTAAAAAGGGCGCCATCCGCCAGCAGAATTTATTCGACCTCACCTCTCATAACGAGGAAGTCTCCTCCCCACCTAACTACTGGTACGTATAACGTAGGAATGTCACTTCCTGTATATTGCGATACCACTGCTGGCTGAACAGAAGCTCACTTGAGGTTACCATAGCTACGACGCTCAACGGCAGAATCCGCAACTTATGCGACCATCGCCCGTTACGGCAATAGTAACAGCGTTACCCCCAATGTCGAAGCCAACTCAGAGCAGAAGTCCGATGGAACCCTGCACCGTGACCCCATAAAGTTTCGTACACCAGTCACGTACCCCAACCTGTAGGCAGTACCCACTTCTCCAACCCATGGAGAATAGAATAGAAGTTCCAACTTGCCAAAGTACAATATAATAATAATAATAATAATAATAATAACCCCTGTGGGTTCGGGGATAGAATAGGCCCACTCTCGCCCTAGAGATCGTAAAAGGCGATCAATGGGCACTAAAGGTGGCAAATCCAACCACCTTTAGTACTTACCTACCCACTTTACTTTCCAACTCCCACGCCCATGTTCCCGACTCTCCTACATATACCTACACAACACGCAGGTGGATATTTGCTTACGCGAATATCTTGAAGAGTGACGCCTTCACGTGTTCCTAGTCACCCCATATTCTCATGAAAATGGAGTTTAAACAAAGCCTCGGAAAAATGCCGCTACCTGAGGAGCGTCAGGGCACGTCTGGAGCTATCGCTGGGCGTTGCAGCATGCGAGCCGATAGTGACGAGTTGGTGATCAGGCGGCCGCTCGTCGGGATACCCGAAACCTTTACAGCCGAAAGAAGACCACGAAGACGACAACGACCACTTGAAGAGGACCACCAAGAAGAAACCTTTGTGCCTGCTTCTCAACCGCTTGTGGATGGGACCAGCGCAAAGGAAACCTCCAAAAGACGTATGAAATGGGACGAAGGGATGAATCGCTTCATTTTCGGTACGTATCTGGAGATCACGAAGATGGAAACGGACAGGACAGCATACAGAGGTAAACTATATCACGCGTTCATTACACAATACCCACATTTAGCACACTTAACAGAACAACGCATTGCAGACCAACGTAGAGTTATTATTAAAAATACACTCCTTACATTAGACACACAGGAACAAATCAGGCACGAAATTGAAGCACTACTCAACACAAACAACACACTCACCGTACAAGATAATACATCCGTTCTAAACAACTCTGAAAGACAGACATTTGCGACACTGCAGCCATCGATAGATACAAATAATCACACGAACCAAACACTCACATCCCTTCAAAAAGAATTCGACAATGCATTATTAGAATTCTCAAACACTGACCCAACACAAAGACCACGAATACCTAAACAAAGTCACACTACAAAATTACGCACACTTTCACAAACATTAAATGACCACATTTTACCAAATTACATTAACGATAACACAAGCTTACATCAACTACACTTTGTTGTGTATTGCGGTGCGGTTGCAGTTTCTAGATGCAACGGTGCAAGAATAGCAATAAACAAACAACAGCACACAACAAAAAAACGCTCACCCCCGGCCTGGGAAAAACGCCTGATAAATCGCATCGATGACATCAGACGTGACTTAGGTCGGATTACACAATACATACAAGGAACTCGTTCTTCAAAACTAACACGACAAGTACAACACATAACTACAAAACTAAACAATCACACCACACGAGAACAAAATACAAACTATAACGAACATAGAGATACACTGACACAAAAACTATCAATATACACAAACCGTCTAAAACGCTATAGGGAAACTGCAGATAGAAAGCGCCATAACACACAATTTAAACATAACGAAAAACTATTTTACAGATCACTAACACAAAACAGCACTAATGAAAAACTAATACCACCATCTCTACACTCACTCCAGCAATACTGGTCTGACTTATGGACCAAAGACATTAAACACAATCCACAAGCCCCGTGGATTACCACAGAAACCACACGTACTGAATACATTACCCCTATGAATAACACAAACATCACTACAACAGACATCATTCAAACTATTAATCACTTACATAACTGGAAAAGTCCAGGCATTGATAACATTCACAACTTTTGGTGGAAATATTTTACCTTGCACAACAATTTACTGAACTTCTTAATTCACCAGATCGCACTCCTGCATTCTTTACACAAGGTATCACTTACATGCTCCCAAAAGACAACAATACACAAGACCCATCTAAATATAGACCAATTACATGCCTTCCTACAATATACAAAATCCTTACATCATGCATTACAAACAAAATATACCAACACTGTACTGATAACAACATTTTATACGAAGAACAAAAAGGGTGTACCAAGTATTCCAGGGGCTGTAAAGAGCAACTCATTATAGACTCTGTTATACTTGAACAATCCAGACATAACAAACGAAACATACACACTGCATACATTGATTACAAAAAAGCATTCGATTCAGTACCACACTCTTGGTTACAACAAGTACTCTCAATATACAAAGTCAGCAACAATATTACACAATTCCTCAATTACATAATGTCATGTTGGAACACTACGTTAACACTTACACTAAACGACACAAAACTTATTACTGACCCAATACAAATTAAAAGAGGAATTTTTCAAGGCGATTCTTTAAGTCCGCTCTGGTTTTGTCTTGCTCTTAATCCACTTTCATATTTGTTAAACACTACTAACTTTGGGTACAATATTAAACACAACCACGAAATACATCACAACATTACACACCTGTTTTACATGGACGATCTTAAATTATACTCTTCCACAAGCATAAAACTTAATCACCTTCTACACATTACCGAAACATTCTCACGTGACATACAAATGGACTTTGGAATCGATAAATGTAAAACACAACACATCACAGCTGGAAAAAGACAACTTTTAGATTATGAGCTAGAACAGGGTAATTTAATAAATTCCATGGACGAGAATGAAACTTATAAAAGTATCTTGGTTTTCAGCAAAACACACACATTAAACATACGAGTATAAAACAAACACTTATCACACAATACCTACAAAGAGTACGCAGTATACTTAAAACAAAATTACACGGTAGAAATACAATCAAGGCCATTAACACTTACGCCACACCAGTGCTTACATACTCTTTTGGGATTATACGTTGGACAAATACAGATTTAGAACAAATACAGAGAAACACACGTACACTATTAACAAAACACCATATACATCACCCTCACTCCTCTACTATACGACTTTACCTTCCTCGTTCGGAAGGAGGTAGAGGACTTACAGATATAAAAATATTGCACCAAACACAAATACACAATTTGCGACAATACTTTTATAACAAAACAGATACTTCAGTCCTACACAAAACAGTAACATATGCAGACAAATCTTACACACCACTTAACCTACACGAAACTAATATACTCCCACCTCCATCCAAACTTACATACATCACAAATAACATACAGACATGGAACCAAAAGCCGTTACATGGACGATTTCCGCAAGAGGTTAGTCAGGATTGTGTTGATTCTATAGCAACGCACACTTGGTTGTCTGAATGTGATATCTTCCCGGAGACTGAGGGTTTCATGTTAGCAATACAAGACCAGGTCATTAATACACGCAACTATAAAAAAACACATACATAAAGACAAAACAGTGACAAACGATTCTTGTCGACTCTGTTCACAAACATCAGAAACAATCCAACATATAATATCGGCATGCACACGACTTGCACAAACTGAATACAAACATCGACACGATCAGGTAGCTAAAATCATACATCAAAAATTAGCACTTAAACACAATCTCATAACAGATAAGACACCATACTATAAATACACGCCACAGATCATACTTGAAAACAACACACACAAATTATATTGGGACAGGACACTACTCACAGACAAAACTATCCACAATAATAGACCAGATATTACACTTATAGATAAAACACAAAAATCCATTTGTATTATAGACATTGCCATACCCAACACTAACAACTTAACTAAAACACATGCAGAAAAACACTGTAAATACACCGATATAGCTATCGAGCTTAAGACGCAATGGAGAATGAAATCTACTGTTATAGTTCCCATTATTCTTAGTGCTACCGGAGTTATACCAAAGACAATACACCACAATTTACAACTATTAGGTTTGGACAAAAACACATACAAACATTTACAAAAAGCAGTCATTATCAACACATGCCATATTGTTCGTAAATTTCTAAACATAACACAAGATACTACATACACAAATGATCCACAACGTATACATGTAAACAACAGCACTCCCTCACAACACGGTACACAACATACTGTAATATCTCCACCTCTAACCCAAACAAACACACAAATACAACTTACCGAACAAACAAGTACAACAAATGATACAACATATACTACAATCAGAGATTCACCTCTGAAGCAAACCACATTATCACACCCATTAGTATTCAACCCAAACGCAAAAGCCTAAACAGCACTTTAGACTCACAACATGACACACGACATACTGTAATATCTCCACCCTTAACTCAACCAACCACACAAACACAACTTCCTGAACAAACAAACGCAATAAATACAAGTAACGCAACATGCACTACAAAGACGCCCTCACCCAATAAAGTTACACGGCCTAGCACAGCTAAAAAACACAATACTCTTTCCTCTCAGAAACACACCTCGTTATCACAACCCACTCGTACTCAACGCAAACGCAGCAACCTTAACAGCACTAGAGGCTCACAAAATACCGTAATGTCTCCACCAATAATGCGAGCAACAACACAAACACAACCTCTAGAACAAAGAAACACCATAAATACAAGAAACGCAACTTGCACTACAAAGACAGGTCCACCCAATAAAGTTACACGTCCTAGCACAGTTAAAAAACGCAATACTCCTTCTTCTCAGAAACAACCCACTCGTATACAACCCAAACGCAAAAACCGTGACAGCACTACTAGCTCACAAAATACTGCAATATCTCCACCAAAAACCCAAGCAACCACACAAATACAACCTCAAGAACAAAGAAACACCACAAATACAAGTAACGCAACTTGCACTACAAAAGACAGGTCTACCCAATAAAGTTACACGTCCTAGCACACTTAAAAAACACATAACTCCTTCTTCACAGAAACACACCACATTGTCACAACCCACTCGTATACAACCGAAGCGCAAAAACCTTAACAGCACCACAGGCTCACAAAATACTGCAATATCTCCACCAAAAACCCAAACAACCTCACAAATAGGACCTCAGGAACAAAGAAACACCATAAATACAATTAAAAAACACAAAACTCCTTCTTCACATAAACACACCACGTTATCACAACCCACTCGTATTCAACCCAAACGCAAAGCCAAAGAAACACTTACACAATAAACTCTATTTAATAAAATTACAGGAATTATTATAATGATTTTTTGTTTTGTTTTGTTTTCCTCTTTCCTGATAGCGTTGGCTATTGTGCCCATCAATAGGTATGTTGGTAAGTATGAATTACATACTATCCCTAGATTTCCAATGTACGTGTGTGATTTTTTTTTAAGGACCCTACATAACAGACACAGACACAGACACTAATCGTTACTTGATTTTAATCCGTGCGATTAGTTAACCAGGCTAGACCTGAGTTCTCACAAGAAACACCGACCATAATAATAATAATAATAATAATAAGGCTCCGGGAATCGATCATATACACAACTACTGGTATAAACAATTCACATCACTACACCAACAACTAACGAAACATATTAACCAAATAATCCAGGAACCGCATACACTACCAAATTTTCTAACACAAGGTAAAACATACATTATACCAAAAAATGAGAACACCCTAGATCCGGCAAACTATAGACCAATCACTTGTCTACCAACATTATACAAGATTATATCATCACTTATTACACTCAAAATAGACAAACACATATCACATCACAACATTTTGACAGAGGAACAGAAGGGGTGCAGGAAGAATAGTCAGGGTTGCAAAGAACAGGTAATAATAGACAGTACAGTTATGAAATATGCAGAAACACATAGAAGGAATATAATAACATGCTACATTGATTACCAAAAAGCGTTTGACTCGATACCGCACAGTTGGTTACTCAAAATTCTTGAAATCTACAAAATAGACCATGTCATACAAAACTTTCTGCGAATAACGATGAAAACATGGAGAACAACGCTACACCTGACAACAGAACAAGGACAAATACAAACGAACACGATCAAAATCAGTAGGGAATATTTCAGGGTGATTCCCTCAGTGCACTCTGGTTTTGCTTATGTCTCAACCCACTTTCAAACAGCCTCAACGTTGACAACGCTTTACTTGGTTTTAAAATTAAACACCAAAACAAAATACAACATATTATTAATCATCTATTGTACATGGATGACATTAAACTGTATGCACAAAATCTCACACAAATGAAAGCGCTTTTAAAGACCACGGAAGGATTTACAAACGACACTGGTATGCAATTCGGTATAAATAAATGTAAGATGCTTCACGTAGAAAAGGGAAAACACAAACAATACGATGTAACCGAAACGCTTAATAATGAGATACTAAGAAACATGGAACCACATGAGACGTATAAATACCTAGGGTTTGAGCAAAACACAAGTATAAATCATTCATATTTTAAAACACAGCTCAAAAAGAATTATCGGCACAGATTAAACAACATCCTCAAATCCAGGTTGAACTCTAAAAACACTTCTAAGGCTATAAACACCTACGCCATACCACTCCTTACCTACTCATTCGGCATCATTAAGTGGTCAAACACTGACCTAAAGGAACTGAACCGAATAACAAGAACGAGATTGACGCAACACAGAAAACTTCATCCAAATTCATCTATAGAAAGGCAGACGATCAGCAGAAAAGAAGGTGGGAGGGGACTCGTTGACATTGAGACACTACACCATGGCCTAATATACTCTTATTAGGCCATGCACTACACCACACGCTAATACAGAACCTAAGGACATACTTTTACAGAAAACAGACACCCATTCATCAAGCCATAATTAAAATAGACCAAAACTTCACACCGCTCAACCTAACACAAGAAAACGTAGACGAGACACTTGACATAACAACATCAGAACAAAAAAAGATCAAGTGGTCAGAAAAAATACTGCACGGTCAACACTTTGCACTTGTACTCGACTATTAAATTTAACATGTAGTTAAAATCCCTTAATTCACTACCAAACGTTCTTCAATAAACTTATAATTACACAGACTGACTGTCTTTAGTACATCCGAAAAGCACGGCTCCAACACACTTATTGGAGCCATTGGGTCCGATTCTACCTAACGGTCAAAACACAGCCGGCGGTGGCGGAGGAAAGGCCAAAGGCGAACGGCAAAAAGCCACGGTGCACGTTAAACATTTCCTCTTCTATGTAACACCTTTCCCCCTCCTGTCTCATCTCCGATTCCATTTCCTAATTTTAAAATAAACAAAATTCACCTGTTTACCTGTTTACAAAAGTAGTTAAACTTTAGCGATAAGCGCAACTCTTATCGTAAAGACAGACAATCTTAAAATTAAATAAACTTTTCCAAACACCTAATACAATTCTAACACGTCTATTATCTTTCCTTAGCGTAACTTTCCAAGAAAATGAACAAGTTTTTTTTTTAACTTTTCCTATGTACCTATCCATATTGATAGCATCTTTACAAAAAGAGTGAAATTGTTGACTTTATTGAATTTTATGCAATACTAAAATTTTAATTTTTCGATTCCACTTTTTTCGTTTAAATTGAATGACGGTAGAATAGTTTTATTTGACCAACATCATGTTCTCCACCGTGTACATGTTTTCTTAGATAAATCGTTGATCTTCAGTCGAGGTTCGCTACATGAAAAGCTGGCACGATAAGTGTAAGAAGAACGCGAAGGAAAAATATTTGTGATCATTCTTTTTATTTTCTACAAAAAAGTTTGAAAACCCCGAAATGTATGCATGCGCATTACTTCAGAACGATTGCACCAAAGTAGATAATTCTTTTTTGTTGTGTTTCGTATTATCAGAAGGTTTCTATTTTCCAAAAAATTGTATGGAAAGACGAAATCTTTTTTAATTCTTTTCCACAAGTTTAAGTCACTATATAACTAATAGATGGCGCCAAAACTAGATTTATTTTTTTTAATTTTTTTATTTTGCCTTTATTTTTTAGTGGGCGGAGTTTCAACAAAGGCTGCTCTACCAACCAACCCAACCCACTATACATTTACAAATATCCATGCCCGAACCCGGATTCGAACCAGGGAACCTTAGCACCACAGTTCAGCTAACTGCACCACACGGACCGGCTACTACCGCTCTAGAAGAATCCTTAAAAGAATAATAATTACATGGATACAAAGTGTATAATGTGTATGAATTTTGTGGAAAAATGAACTAGTTATAGACCTCTAGTGTATTCTAAGGAAAAAACATTAATTAATCAATCAATTAATTAATTCATTATTTAATGAAACAGACCCTATACCTACCGATGATTGAGAAATCATATGCAACAATGTTTCGAGTTTTGTTCCTATACAGAAAAAGTGCATTCAATTTAATGAACTTTTGACCATTTTTATAAAGGCCCAACTATGAATTTCAGTCGCGTCTCTTGATCCCAATTTTCAAAAACATTTGTATTGGATTCGATGATATTTTCATGTTAAAAAATTCCGGGGTACCAAATTTGGTTGATACCAAAATCTTTCTTGACACCCCCGTTTAAAGGTGCACAATCTATTTTTTATTATACATAATACACTGAAATACACTGAAAATTGAGTGTCAAGGACAAAGGTGCAGTTTCAGAGGCTTGTGCCAGTCCGTTGTTTGATGAATGGTCAGTGTACTAGCAGCACTTGAATCCCGCTTGAAGACACCTTTTTAAGATAATTTGCCATCACTTTGCCTTGGCAGTTGAAAAACAAATTTCTGCCAACTGACTTTCTTTTGTTAGGTCATTTATGATTTATGAATCACTTTGTACCCAACCATAAATATACACAAACGAAAAAGGTTACAACTCGGTATAATTACCATAAATGTTGACATTTCGAATTTCACATAAATAAATTTGCGTGATCGATCAACATAACCGGAAGTTGAAGGCCATTTCATAAACATAATTAGTTCGATTAGTGTTCGTGACAGGTCATACTTTTAATGCAAACGACTCCAGTGACTATAGCTACTAGTCGATGAACTTTGGAAAACACGCCGGAAGCATCTACTTAACTGACAATAAATAAACATTGATAGTAATACTTATCTACAAAGTAATGGCATTTATATTTAGACGGTAAACCTACGAGCAATTATTTCCACTTTTGGGTACCGTTGAGTCATAACGTGTAATTATTTCATTTATTATTCTGAGAACTGGTTTGCATGAAAGAAGGAACCGTTTTTTATTGCATAATTAGATCGTTTACATTGAAGTGTCGTATTTTCGGTGTTAAATTGCACAGGATACATAAATGACCTTCAACGCGTGAGACATGCAGACGCCAATCGCCTATAAAAAATTTATGTATGACACGCTCTAAAATAAATGGAGAAGTACCGAAACTAAAAATATTTTGATCGCCGTTGGTCCTTGCCAAGAAAAACAAGCAGAAGCGTTCGTTTTCGTATCTTGGCAACGGCGACGACGCTATTATTCGGACATGAGAAATTGTTTTTATACCGTGAGTAATGGCAGCACTTTTTATCGCTTCGTTCCCAAACGTTATTATAATTCCACCAGTGCAAAAATACACAAAAAATTCGTCTGAGTTTGGCATACGTAAATCGCTAGGCTTTAAATTACGTCATTCGAAAAATGAGATTCCTTGAAGGTTGAAATAACAAAAGCGATAAGGAATGGATTGATATATCCCCTTTAAACGTAAACGACAACATCCAGGTAGTACATCTATTTGTAAACAGAGGAATTAACATAATTACGGACGCAAACCGAAGCTTCAGCGGAATAGAGGCCGCTAGAAGCCGGCGACGACACCGAATTCATGATGGCTTCCCGCACGAAACTCCGCCCTCACGCGACCCACTCTACCCCTTCCAATGTTAACACGTGCGTCTCTGCTTTCTCGTTGCTATGGTAATTCGACAACGCGGCCATCTTTACACGCCAATTTATAGGGCTTTGACACGTGCACAAAAACGATTACAGTTAAAGGAAAGTGCTTACTGCTTAGTACCAATTCGAAAACTGAACCCTTAATGAATTTGAACCGACACCCTTCGATTACACTTATTTTAATTAATCCGCTTTTATTCTTTGCGGAGACGCATAGGTATTCCCCACTTCCATGCACCCACAACAGTTTTTTCTACACCATCTAGACAAAAAGAAGGTTGAATTCTGGCTAGGTATTCAAGGTATCTATTAGGAAAGTAAAATTATCGGAGAACCGCAACATAAAATGCACAAGTTTTTCATTTTCTTGGATTTCGAAATAAAATCGGAAGTACATCGAAGCGACCGACGATTCCACCGTTTTTAATTTAGGTAATAGGTAGGTATTATTATTAGTTGTACTTCCATAATGACATTCGAGCTCAACAATGCGAACAACAAGCGTTATTAACGGGAGGGTGAAATCATATAAATATTCAACGGTGAAATCAGTTTTATGCGAGAGAAAGTTGCTGAAACCAAAATAACAAGAGCTCTAAATGAACCGATTTAAGAGGTCATTTGTCGTACCTATACCTAGCTTCTGTTCATTTCCTTTAGCGATGGCTTTTCTTTTCTTCAATATTATTGTAAATCGCGCTCTGATGTGGATGATTAAAGAAAACAATAAAAAGACAAGGACGTTTGTTGAATAATAATGAACCATTATAGTGCTGTATAATTTGCTAAGATTTAAGAATCACGCGGCAAAAAACTGTTGCTTGTAAGTGTTTGAGTAGTATTGCTAAAAATAGAACAAATAAACAACGCTCTTCATGCCGCGCCACTCATTTTTAAATTGATAGCTTCGATTATGTAATAAATAAACACAAATGAGCCAACTGTCAGCCTACAGGGTGTCCCATTTTCAAGTCAGTCATTTACGACTTGACCAACCATTAGCTTAATCATTACTTAATATACCTATACCTACAATAATATACCTAGGTATACAAGGTGTTATACATACCGCATCCGCATGTAAAAAAAAATTGGGTGATAGAGGGGATCAAAGCACTTTTTCCAAATAAAAAGAGGGCCCAACGTGTTTCGTTTGGGAGCCGCTCCCAAAAAGTGGTGAAATTTGGATTTCTTCTTTATAATTTTTTTCACAGCAACCATAGCGAATATCTCAAAAACGCTTTGTCTGGGAAAAGTATACCCACAAAGGCAAAACTGAACTGGGCCCTTATAACGCAACCATTTATTTAGTATCAGCTAATCCGGTTTCAAAAAATGCGCTTTATCTTCACAATTTATACTTGTTTTGTAGACCTTACCATTGATTATATAATAATCAATGACCTTACGTTTAAAATGCGATTTAATTTATTGTCATGTTGAGGTATGATATGCTTTTAATTTACCATGCGCTAGAATATTCGTTTACTTATATATTTGCTCTACAATACGAATAAAAATATGCTTATTCTACGTTTGTTAAGACTGTATAAGAAACGTTGAAAATATCTAGACAAATAACCGTTTTTTAAAGTTAAACTGATAAACGCGTACCTATGTAAAACCATTTTAAATTGTTACTTGAATATAGGGTTATTCACGAGGTTCTTTACTTCCTCGATAATATGAATTAAAAATTAAGTTGCTAAATTAGATGTACTTTACTAATGAAATTGGTATAAGGAACGCGTATTTTAGACGATATTCAATAAAGTAAACATTTTTTAAATGGAACGTCCCGTATATAAACATGTACTTATTTTATACTTTACAACATTAGGTTCTTTTGTTTCTTTAAGTTTAAAGTATCGGTCACCTGCGTTTTACAAAATTGTTGTAGTAAACTTAAAAAATGTAATGGCTTGTATTTCCTTTAACCTTTGAATATAAAATATAATTCAAAGCTTTAACTTCAATTTGCTGGTGGCTAAGTATTAATTTTTTTAATTCACAATTTCATTTTTTTGCTAAGATATAGCAGGGTATTTCATTCAAAAAAGAACACTTTACTGAATACCCAAAGCGCAATTTTTTTCTGATTCAATAATTGCAATCATGAGAAAAAAACACCTCATATTTCCTGATTTAATCAACTTCGCAGATGAAATAATAACAAACTTAGCAATACCGCAGATTTTACTTTGAACACATTGTATATAAGCTGCATCTGGTGGAAAGACAATACAATCCATAAAACCTTTTATTAGCGCTAAGAATTGCAATTGATGTGACACAAAGCTAATGATTCAAACCGGAGCATTCTACAATGATTCCTTCGAGAGTTATA